CTTCTCTGACAACAGCTGGATAAGTATTCCTTGATTCATTACAGGGCCTTAGTTTTTATTCCACCCTGCTCCTCTAGTGTTTGCCTCAGTCTTTTGCTCCTTTTATGGAATTAGCCCACCCTTCTCTCTCCCTCTTTCCCTCCCTCCCTCCCCCTCCTCCCTCTCTCCCCCCTCTCTCTCTCTCTCCCCTTCTCTCTCTCTCTCCCTCTTTCTCTCTTTCACTTGTCTCATTTCTGTTACCTTGTCGTGGAGTTTATTTATGATCTCTCTTTCTCAGGTGCTCCACTACTCTTCCGATAATTTTCTCCGTAAATTTACAGCCTGTGCCTGTCAGTAACATTGGCCTCTTGGTTTAATGTTATCTGCTTGTCCCTTTTTATAAATACTGGGACTACGTTTGTTGTGTGTAACAAACATCCCGAATTTCAGTGAGAAATTAAAGGCACTAATAACAAACAGACAAATGAATAAGCACCACCTTCTCTTAGGTGGAGACTTCAACATCAATCTTGGCCTACCAGATGATCAACGGAAACTGTTTTCATCAACAATATGAAAAAACAACTTCTCATACCAAAATAAAAAAACCCAAACCCAGGCTGATGAGAAAAGTGAAAAACCAAAAATAGTCCACAATGGCCCAATTTTACCCCCCTTTAAATCGGGGTAATCCGATAGCACTCAACCACTCCCCACCTTCCTCTTGACAAACATTTAAACCCCCATTTGAATACAACAAAGTTTCATTTAGACTCCATGAGGGGTTTTTCAAAAAGGGAGTTCCCCGCGACTAAACTGTTGACGGGCCTACAAATTCTCCAAGGCCAATGGTAGGCTGGACAGAATTTATCTTAACAAATACTTAGACTATATAAAAAAATTGTCCCATAAAAAAGAAAAGATCACAAACAAACGGGTTGGTTGCCCCCGGTAAACCGCACCATTTGAATCCATTGACAAGAAACAAACCCAAAATGAAAAGCAAAATAGCCCGGGGGGTTTAAAACCAAAATATTTTAAACAAATTTTATCAGTTCTCACCAAAAATAAAAAAGCAAACAACATCTATCAGTAGATTCAAGACACTAGGGAATAAAAAAAAGACCTGGAAAACACTCTAGATTCGGGGCCCACAAAATGAAAAAAAAACAAGAAAATTTTCCTAATAAACCTAATGAAACACCATACATCCCCTGACACAGCTAAAAAGATAAACGATTCTTCTAACCCTAGGTCAATCTCCCAATAAAAAACCCCCGTACAAGCCCATGCCGGGATACCTAGAGGGAATTTCCCCAAATTCCTTCTATCTTGTACCAATGAGCCCACGGAAGTCACCCGGGTTATAAAGTACTTAAAATAATCGGGGAAACTGAGGGGGGGCCCTGCCCTCTCGCATGCTATCTCATTACTTTTTAACAAGTCACTAGAAACTAGCCCTTCCCGAAAAATACTCAAGCGGCAGGGTTCACCAAAAAAAGGGGTGACCCTACAGATTTAGCAACTATAGGCCAAAATTAACTTCCCTTTCTACCAAAATCTTTGAGAAATCATGCTAGGGACTATATTCATTTTTAAAGTCACAAAACATACTCAACCCCTGCCAATTTTTATTCAGGAAAAAATAAAAGCACTAACGATGCAATAAAAATCTGCTTTACACAGCATTGGAAAATAAGGAATATCCACTGGAATTTTTTTTTTCCCTAAAAAAAGCTTTTGACACAGTTGACCACGGCATCCTACTCCACAAACTTGACCACTATGGTATAAGAGGGCCATTGCGCTTGCATATTTCAAATCTTCCCTTACTATAGGTATCAGTATGGTCACCATTAAAGACACAGCATCAACAACACGGCCACTAAATACTGGAGGTTCCACAGGGAAGTGCCCTTGATCCCCTGTTCTTCCTCATTTACATCAATGATCTTCCAAACGTATCCCAACACCTGAAACCCATTCCTTTGCTGACGACACGACTTATGTAAATCTCTCACCCAAAATCTTGGCCCCCCTCAAAACCATTGTTTAACGAGGAGCTGATCAAAATATCGATTTGGATGACACCCAATAAACTTACGTTTAAAACACTGACAAAACCTACTACATTATGTTTGGTAGCAGAGCAGGAGATGCCCCAAATTAACTTAAGATCGACAACACTCTAATTGCCAGACATAATGGGGCAAATTCCTAGGCCTATACCTCGACAACAACCTGAATTTCAGCACCCATATCCAACACAACCAAAAAGTATCCAAAAACGGTTGGGATCCTCTCCAAGATACGATACTACGTGCCGCAAACTGCCCTTCTCACACTATACCATTCACTTATATATCCATACCTCACCAAATGCTATCTGTGCTTGGGGTTCAATGCAGCAAACACCTAAAGCCAATAATAACCCAACAAAAAGCCACAGTAAGAATAATCACTAAAAACCCATCCCTGGCAAAAACCCCCCCCACTCTTCATAGATCTAAACTTACTCCCTGTTCAGTACATCCACACTTACTACTGTGCAATCAACATCTACAGGACCTTAAATTCCAATATTAAACCCTTTACCTAAGCGCTTTCTTGATAGTTTTGACAGAACCCACAGGCACAACACCAGGACACAAACATCTCTATGACATTCCCCGTTTTCCGACTAAACCTTTACAAAAATTCAATGTATGTCAAAGGCCCAAATCTGGAACACCCTACCCGAAAATCTAAAACTGCAGACACATTCCCTCACCTTCAAAACTACCATCAGAAAACATTTATCTCCCTGATACACCTGTCAACTAATTACACGAATACCACCTGGTGGTTCACACTTACACTCACTCACCCATTTGACCATAAACAGAAATATCAATCTCAATCTTAAAATAATGAATCTTAATAGTCATAAGTTGGCCCGTGATGCCCCCAAAACTGAAACTAGGTATAGTGCCAAAACAAAAGCATTCACATTGCTAAACTCACAAGCTAGTATTTAGTCAGCCATAATACCAACTTACCTCATAATTTTGTAATATTTTAAACTTAAGAATTAATCTAAGTCTGCCCGGAATGCCTAGCCATGCTAGGTGTTCTAGTGGTACACTCTGTAATTATTATTTTACTACATGTAAACCACACAATAACCAAATTCTGTAAACTCAGCATTGTAATCCTTATAGAGAATAAACTTTGAATTGAATTGAATTGAATGTCATACCTCGTCTTAAGCTATGTATGGTTCCTGCCTCCACTACATCACTTGCTAGGTTATTCCACTTCATGACTACTCTATTGCTGAAGAAATACTTCCTAACATCCCTGTGACTCGCCTGAGTCTTCAGCTTCCAATTGTGACCTCTTGTTTCTGTGTCCCCTCTCTGGAACATCCTGTCTCTATCCACCTTATCTATTCCACGCAGTATTTTGTATGTCGTTATCATGTCTCCCTTGACCCTCCTGTCCTTCAGTGTCGTCAGTTCGATTTCCCTCAACCTTTCTTCGTATGACATTCCCCTGAGCTCCGGAAGTAGCCTTGTTGCAAACCTTTGTACTTTCTCTAATTTCTTGGCGTGCTTGACCAGGTGTGGGTTCCAAACTGGTGCTGAATACTCCAGTATGGGCCTGACGTACACGGTGTACAGTGTCTTGAACGATTCCTTACTAAGGTGTCGGAACGCTGTTCTCAGGTTTGCCAGGCGCCCATATGCTGCAGCAGTTGTCTGGTTGATGTGTGCCTCCGGAGACGTGCTCGGTGTTATGGTCACCCCAAGATCTTTCTCCTTGAGCGAGGTTTGCAGTCTTTGGCCACCTAGCCTATACTCTGTCTGCGGTCTTCTTTGCCCTTCTCCGATCTTCATGACTTTCCATTTGGCAGGGTTGAATTCGAGAAGCCAGTTGCTGGACCAGGTGTCCAGTCTGTCCAGGTCTCTTTGAAGTCCTGCCTGATCCTCGTCTGATGTAATTCTCCTCATTAACTTCACATCATCTGCGAACAGGGACACCTCTGAGTCTATCCCTTCCATCATGTCATTCACATATACCAAAAATTGCACTGGTCCTAGGACCGACCCCTGTGGGACCCCGCTCGTCACAGGTGCCCACTGTGATACCTCATCACGTATCATTACTCGTTGGTGCCTCCCTGTCAGGTATTCTCTGATCCACTGCAGTGCCCTTCCTGTTATACGCCCCTGATCCTCTAGTTTCTGCACTATTTTTTTGTGAGGAACTGTCAAAGGCCTTCTTGCAGTCCAAGAAAATGCAATCAACCCACTCCTCTCTCTCGTGTCTTACTTCTGTAACTTTGTCATAAAACTCCAGAAGGTTTGTGACACTGGATTTGCCTTCCGTGAATCCGTGCTGGTTGTCGTTTATAATCTTGTTCCGCTCCAGGTGTTCCACCACTCTTCTCCTGATAATCTTCTCCATGACTTTGCATACTATACACGTCAGTGACACTGGTCTGTAATTAGTGCCTCCTCAAGGAAGGTTCCTTGATGTTGGTGAGGGGCTCTTGATTTAGGGAATTGGATCTGTGCTCCAGTTCCCCAAATTAAGCCTGAATGCCTTCCACATCCAGCCCCCCCAGGCGCTGCATAATCCTCCGGGTTTAGCGCTTCCCCCTTGATTGTAATAATAATAATAATAATGTAATTAGTGCCTCTTTTCTGTCTCCTTTTTTAAATGTGTGTGTGTGTGTGTATATATGTGTGTGTGTGTGTGTGTGTGTGTGTGTGTGTGTGTGTGTGTGTGTGTGTGTGTGTGTGTGTGTGTGTGTGTGTGTGTGTGTGTGTGTGTTTGCGTGTGTGTGTGTGTGTGTGTGTGTGTGTGTGTGTGTGTGTGTGTGTGCGTGTGCGTGCGTGGCTGGACAAGACATGCACACGGGGCAGGTGATAGCACCTGACGGAATCTACGTGTGTGGGGTAAATAAAATAGGTAAGAAATTCAAATTCAAATTATTTTCCTGCATCCACCCCCAGGAGACAGACGGAGGTACCCACCATCCGTCGTAGGTATACAGGCCCTGGTAGAAGGCGGTGGCGATGACGGGAAGAGCGAGGCAGGTGCCCTGGAAAGGCTCCTCGTAGCTGCTGGAGGGATCAGTGACCAAGCGGTAGATGCCCGTGATGATGATGCTGCCCAGGATAAGGATCTTAGGGATCATGAGGACGTCCTGCAGCGCGACACTCACTTTCACCGCGCAGCAGTTTACCCATGCCAAGAACACTGATGAAAGAAGAAGTCACAATGCCTTAGTTGCAACAGTTCACCATTAACCCACAAACTGGAAATACCAGATGACTTTTAGGTTCGTCCTCCCAGGCTGACAAATATTAATATCTTGTATGTCCCAGGCTGACAGATTTCAACACCTTGTATGTCCCAGGCTGACAAATATCAACACCTTGTATGTCCCAGGCTGACAAATATCAACACCTTGTATGTACCAGTCTGACAAATATCAACACCTTGTATGTACCAGGCTGACAAATATCAACACCTTGTATGTACCAGTCTGACAAATATCAACACCTTGTATGTACCAGGCTGACAAATATCAACACCTTGTATGTCCCAGGCTGACAAATATCAACACCTTGTATGTACCAGGCTGACAAATATCAACACCTTGTATGTACCAGGCTGACAAATATCAACACCTTGTATGTACCAGTCTGACAAATATCAACACCTTGTATGTGGCAATATAAACACAAATGCAGTATAATGTGATCCTTTATTGACTACGTTTCGCCCACACAGTGGGCTTTTTCAAGTCACAAACAGAACTACCTGGGGTGGAAGGAACGCGAGTATTTATAGTCCGGCTGAGGTCAGGTGAAGAATGCTGCATCTGATGATGTACCGAGTTGGGTTGTAGAGTCTAAAAACTTGGGTATCTTGGAAAGGAGACTGGACAAGTTTGTGAGCAGACCTTCTACAGTGTTCTTATGTGGGATAGCGATGAAGAAGTTTCTTGGCAAGTGGTTCAGCTATGTTATAGAAGCCACTATTCTGGTTGAAGTTGTCGGATATAGAAATAAGTGATGATTCCAGGATTCTTCGGTATTGAGTGTTGTCTTCTGTGGCGATAAGTCTTGAGTTTCTGTAGTTTATCAAGTGGTTGTGTGAATTACGGTGTTGTACGCAGGCATTCCTTGTGTCGTCAGACCTGCTTGCGTATTGGTGTTCTGAAATACGTGTTTGGAGGTCCCTTGATGTTTCGCCCACGTATAACTGTTGCAGTCATTACAAGGGATTATGTATACCCCTGCAGAGGATGGAGGCTTGTCCTGCCTACTACTGGTGATGTCCTTGATGGTCGTGGTTGTGGAGGTAGATACTTGGAATGATGTTTTGGCAAAGATGTTGGAAACATGTTTGGCAATGGAGTTGGTGGGAAGGACTATGTATCTCTTCTCGGCAGTGTCTTCTCTGGGTGTGTTGAAGATGTTTAGTGCTCGCCGTCTGCAGTCTCTGATGAAGTGACGAGGATAGTGGAGTTTGGAAAATACCTGTTCAATTATAGTGCATTCTTCCTCAAGGAACTCGTTGCTGCAGATTCTGAGTGCACGCAGGAAGAAGCCTATAATTACACCACGTTTGGTTTTGGTGTCGTGGTGAGAGTAGAAGTGGAGAAGATCGTTTTGGTTGGTGGGTTTTCGATAGACTTTAAAACGAAGTTCGTGGGCACTATCAGTCCAACACATCTCAAACACTCAGGTGATCTTCTCAATCGCATTCGCAACATCAACATCAGGAACAAGAAACTTTCCAGCCTTGACGTGACTTCCCTATTCACTAAAGTACCTACTAAACAAGCCATCGATCTCTTGCGCAAGAAAATTGACGATTCACTTGATCTTCCCATTCCAGCCAGCGACTTCATCGACCTGGTTGAACTATGTGTTGGCTTTACGTGTTTCTCTTTTGAAAATCACCTCTTTCAGCAGACTTTTGGACTACCCATGGGTTCGCCACTCAGTGCAGTCCTAGCGAACCTATACATGGAACATCTAGAAGCCGAACGTTTTCCACCATTATTCCTTCGTCTGTCACCTGCTCCGTTATGTTGACGACATTCTCCTCATAACTCCTAAACGCTTCAACGTTCAAGCTCTCCAAGACAAGCTCAACCAGGTCGAGCCTTCAATCCAGTTCACACTTGAAGAAGAGGTCGACAACACTCTTCCTTTCCTTGATGTTCTACTCTGCAAAGCTGAAACGAACTTCGTTTTAAAGTCTATCGAAAACCCACCAACCAAAACGATCTTCTCCACTTCTACTCTCACCACGACACCAAAACCAAACGTGGTGTAATTATAGGCTTCTTCTGCGTGCACTCAAATCTGCAGCAACGAGTTCCTTGAGGAAGAATGCACTATAATTGAACAGGTATTTTCCAAACTCCACTATCCTCGTCACTTCATCAGAGACTGCAGACGGCGAGCACTAAACATCTTCAACACACCCAGAGAAGACACTGCCGAGAAGAGATACATAGTCCTTCCCACCAACTCCATTGCCAAAACATGTTTCCAACATCTTTGCCAAAACATCATTCCAAGTATCTACCTCCACAACCACGACCATCAAGGACATCACCAGTAGTAGGCAGGACAAGCCTCCATCCTCTGCAGGGGTATACATAATCCCTTGTAATGACTGCAACAAGTTATACGTGGGCGAAACATCAAGGGACCTCCAAACACGTATTTCAGAACACCAATACGCAAGCAGGTCTGACGACACAAGGAATGCCTGCGTACAACACCGTAATTCACACAACCACTTGATAAACTACAGAAACTCAAGACTTATCGCCACAGAAGACAACACTCAATACCCAAGAATCCTGGAATCATCACTTATTTCTATATCCGACAACTTCAACCAGAATAGTGGCTTCTATAACATAGCTGAACCACTTGCCAAGAAACTTCTTCATCGCTATCCCCCATAAGAACACTGTAGAAGGTCTGCTCACAAACTTGTCCAGTCTCCTTTCCAAGCTACCCAAGTTTTTAGACTCTACAACCCAACTCGGTACATCATCAGATGCAGCATTCTTCACCTGACCTCAGCCGGACTATAAATACTCGCGTTCCTTCCACCCCAGGTAGTTCTGTTTGTGACTTGAAAAAGCCCACTGTGTGGGCGAAACGTAGTCAATAAAGGATCACATTATACTGCATTTGTGTTTATATTGCCATTGTGTCGGTATTTTATACCATTTATTTCCACCTTGTATGTACCAGTCTGACAAATATCAACACCTTGTATGTACCAGGCTGACAAATATCAACACCTTGTATGTGAGGAAAACATTACTACCTGTTGTTCCCGCTGTGTTATTGTCACATAAAATACAGCAGCACACTGATGATGTATCTCTTTTTAATAAAACAAATCGGTCCTCCCTGAACTGTTCAGGACGGGCCGAACCTTCACCTAGTTTTCTTTCTATGTTGATGAGTTGTGACTTTATAATGAGGTGCTTAACCTACACACGTACTCATTATAGTTACTAATTATTCATTTGTTACTACTCTGTTACCACTGTAACTTGTTTAGTTACCAACTCTACGGAGCTCAGTCCCTGGACCTATTGTATGAGTCTTTGTGATCTTTTGACTACCGCCTACTGCATGGGTATGAGGTGGCTGCTGCCCACAGGATTGGTATTGAGGGGGGAGTGGGCATGATATAGATTAAGCTACTTAACCATCTTACTTCCCAGCTGTGAAAGCTGACGATGGTACGTAAGATACCCGGCCTGCCATCATGTTGACGACTCCCTGTCCTCGCTACCAACACCAGTTATCCAAGCTACACCATCACCAGTTATCCAAGCTACACCATCACCAGTTATCCAAGCTACACCATCACCAGTTATCCAAGCTACACCATCACCAGTTATCCAAGCTACACCATCACCAGGTATCCAAGCTACACCATCACCAGTTATCCAAGCTACACCATCACCAGTTATCCAAGCTACACCATCACCAGTTATCCAAGCTACACCATCACCAGTTATCCAAGCTACACCATCACCAGTTATCCAAGCTACACTATCACCAGTTATCTACGCCATCATCACTAGTTATCTACGCCATCATCACCAGTTATCTACGCCATCATCGTCAGTTATCTACTCCACTATCCCTATGGAAATAAATGGTATAAAATACCGACACAATGGAAATATAAACACATATGCAGTATAATGTGATCCTTTATTGACTACGTTTCGCCCACACAGTGGGCTTTTTCAAGTCACAAACAGAACTACCTGGGGTAGAAGGAACGCGAGTATTTATAGTCAGGTTCAGAATGCTGAGGTCAGGTGGAGAATGCTGCATCTGATGATGTACCGAGTGGGGTTATAGAGTCTAAGATCTTGGGTAGCTTGGAAAGGAGATTGGATAAGTTTGTAAGCAGACCTTCTACAGTGTTCTTATGTGGGATAGCGATGAAGAAGTTTCTTGGCAAGTGGTTCAGCTATGTTATAAGATAAGATAAGATAAGATTTCGTTCGGATTTTTAACCCCGGAGGGTTAGCCACCCAGGATAACCCAAGAAAGTCAGTGCGTCATCAAGGACTGTCTAACTTATTTCCATTGGGGTCCTTAATCTTGTCCCCCAGGATGCGACCCACATCAGTCGACTAACACCCAGGTACCTATTTGCTGCTAGGTGAACAGGACAACAGGTGTAAGGAAACGTGTCGAAATGTTTCCACCCGCCGGGAATCGAACCCGGGCCCTCCGTGTGTGAAGCGGGAGCTTTAGCCACCAGGCCACGGCCACTATTCTGGTTGAAGTTGTCAGATATAGAAATAAGTGATTATTCCAGGATTCTTCGGTATTGAGTGTTGTCTTCTGTGGCGATAAGTCTTGAGTTTCTGTAGTTTATCAAGTGGTTGTGTGAATTACGGTGTTGTACGCAGGCATTCCTTGTGTCGTCAGACCTGCTTGCCACAGAAGACAACACTCAATACCGAAGAATCCTGGAATCATCACTTATTTCTATATCCGACAACTTCAACCAGAATAGTGGCTTCTATAACATAGCTGAGCCACTTGCCAAGAAGCTTCTTCATCGCTATCCCACATAAGAACACTGTAGAAGGTCTGCTCACAAACTTATCCAATCTCCTTTCCAAGCTACCCAAGATTTTAGACTCTATAACCCCACTCGGTACATCATCAGATGCAGCATTCTCCACCTGACCTCAGCATTCTGAACCTGACTATAAATACTCGCGTTCCTTCCACCCCAGGTAGTTCTGTTTGTGACTTGAAAAAGCCCACTGTGTGGGCGAAACGTAGTCAATAAAGGATCACATTGTGTACGAATGATATATAATACCGACAAGATGAGAGTAAGACACATGTGCAACATCTGGGTATCTTTATTGTAGACGTTTCGCCATCCAGTGGCTTTATCAATACAAATTCTAGGACATAACTTGAAGACAGTAGAACTATGTACAGAAGATGAGGTAATCAGTCCCTCAACCTAGGAGTAGGTGCGAACAGCACCATAGTCGTGGAGATTCTGAAGCAGAAGAAAGAATCCTGGCGCTTATATAGTAACGTCAGGTGAAGCAGACGAGGACAAATTCACTGGTAGGCGGGATTCCCCACTGCAACTTCATGGAATCTTAATTCTGAGGACATGTACATAACCTTCACAACTACGACAACTACTACTACAACTAACCCATCTCTTTGGGAAGGACCTACTTCCACTGGGGAATCCCGCCTACCAGTGAATATGCCCTCGTCTGCTTCACCTGACGTTACTATATAAGCGCCAGGATTCTTTCTTCTGCTTCAGAATCTCCACGACTATGGTGCTGTTCGCACCTACTCCTAGGTTGAGGGACTGATTACCTCATCTTCTGTACATAGTTCTACTGTCTTCAAGTTATGTCCTAGAATTTGTATTGATAAAGCCACTGGATGGCGAAACGTCTACAATAAAGATACCCAGATGTTGCACATGTGTCTTACTCTCAAAGGATCACATTATACTGCATATGTGTTTATATTTCCACTATCCCTAGTTATCTACGCCACCATCACCAGTTATCTACGCCACTATCCCTAGTTATCTACGTCACCATCACCAGTTATCTACGTCACCATCACCAGTTATCTACGCCACTATCCCTAGTTATCTACGCCACCATCACCAGTTATCTACGTCACCATCACCAGTTATCTACGCCACCATCACCAGTTATCTACGCCACCATCACCAGTTATCTACGTCACCATCACCAGTTATCTACGCCACTATCCCTAGTTATCTACGCCACCATCACCAGTTATCTACGCCACTATCCCTAGTTATCTACGCCACTATCACCAGTTATCTACGCCACTATCCCTAGTTATCTACGCCACCATCACCAGTTATCTACGCCACTATCACCAGTTATCTACGTCACCATCACCAGTTATCTACGCCACTATCACCAGTTATCTACGTCACCATCACCAGTTATCTACGCCACCATCACCAGTTATCTACGCCACCATCACCAGTTATCTACGCCACTATCACCAGTTATCTACGCCACCATCACCAGTTATCTACGCCACCATCACCAGTTATCTACGCCACCATCACCAGTTATCTACGCCACTATCACCAGTTATCTACGTCACCATCACCAGTTATCTACGCCACCATCACCAGTTATCTACGTCACCATCACCAGTTATCTACGTCACCATCACCAGTTATCTACGTCACCATCACCAGTTATCTACGCCACCATCACCAGTTATCTACGCCACCATCACCAGTTATCTACGCCACTATCACCAGTTATCTACGTCACCATTACCAGTTATCTACGCCACCATCACCAGTTATCTACGCCACCATCACCAGTTATCTACGTCACCATCACCAGTTATCTACGCCACTATCACCAGTTATCTACGTCACCATCACCAGTTATCTACGCCACCATTACCAGTTATCTACGCCACTATCACCAGTTATCTACGTCACCATCACCAGTTATCTACGCCACCATCACAGTTATCTACGCCACCATCACCAGTTATCTACGTCAACCATTTACCAGTTATCTACGCCACCATCACCAGTTATCTACGTCACCATCCCAGTTATCTACGTCACCATCACCAGTTATCTACGTCACCATCACCAGTTATCTACGCCACTATCACCAGTTATCTACGTCACCATCACCAGTTATCTACGCCACCATCACCAGTTATCTACGCCACTATCACCAGTTATCTACGTCACCATCACCAGTTATCTACGCCACCATCACCAGTTATCTACGCCACCATCACCAGTTATCTACGTCACCATTACCAGTTATCTACGCCACCATCACCAGTTATCTACGTCACCATCACCAGTTATCTACGTCACCATCACCAGTTATCTACGTCACCATCACCAGTTATCTACGCCACCATCACCAGTTTATCTACGTCACCATCACCAGTTATCTACGCACCATCACCAGTTATCTACGCCACCATCACCAGTTATCTACGTCACCATCACCAGTTATCTACGTCACCATCACCAGTTATCTACGCCACCATCACCAGTTATCTACGTCACCATCACCAGTTATCTACGTCACCATCACCAGTTATCTACGTCACCATCACCAGTTATCTACGTCACCATCACCAGTTATCTACGCCACCATCACCAGTTATCTACGCCACCATCACCAGTTATCTACGTCACCATCACCAGTTATCTACGTCACCATCACCAGTTATCTACGCCACTATCACCAGTTATCTACGTCACCATCACCAGTTATCTACGTCACCATCACCAGTTATCTACGTCATTTGAAGTTCGTAGCCCGAGTGATGTAGTGAGGTTGACCACAAAGATGATACAACAATAACACCTCGTAACTGCTTTGTAATGTTTACGGGATTAAAATCATGATTGTGTCACAATTCATTACTGTTATTTCTGAGTCAAAGTTTGTAAACATTTCATGACTACTGTAACAATGTTGAGTTCCAGCCCCCGGACCCATTATACCCCACTGTTATGACTCACGAAATCGTAATAACAAATCAGGGAACGGATGGGATTTGAACCCATGGACTCGCTTACCATGGGTTCAAACCCCACCTGTTCCGTGACATGAAAACATAAGAAGGAGCACTACAGCAGACCTACTGGCTCTGTAATCTTTTGACGCCTGCCCACGGGTATATTGTGCATAATGTTATCTGACTCGGGTTTTATCCAAGAAAGAGCAGGTCATCTCTAATTTCTTGGATACTGAACCCTTTCACGAGCATCATCATGACCCTTTCCCTGAAGGACATGACCCTGCTGGTCATGGACCGGACCGCGGGGGCGTTGACCTTATAAACACCGTCCAGGTATACTGCAGGTAATCCATCCTGCTTGAATATAACTATTACATAAAATAGGGCAGCAGCACCCTGTCGATTAATAAAATTTAGCTAAATACAAATAAAAAAAAGGTGTGGAGACGGACCTATGAGGACGGCAGCGAGGAGTTTGATGGGTACAACAGGTGGGTCATGAGGGAAGAATGGCTGGAGGATGTAGTAACCAAAGGTGTAGCCATCTACTACCCTCATGGTGGGTTCTTCGATGATAAGGGCCATCCACAGGTACACGAAGCCAGGGGTGGGGCCCAGCGTCCTCCTGATGTAGGTGTAGATCCCGCCGCTCTCTGGGATCATGGTGGCTGTCAGCGAGACACGAACATGGTAAATACACGAACATGGTAAACACACGAACATGGTAAATAATGGCAAAAACCTGATCTCATGGAGTTCGTTTGCTTTACTAGACCGAGTATTTGCTCATTCCTGTACACTTGATAGAACCTTGGGCGAAACGTTGTATTTAAAGGATTCTTTGCTATTAGTCTTTATTTCCACAGGGCCTGGTAGGTAACACTCTCACCTCACACACTGAGTGTCTGGGGTTCGATCCCCGTTCACCCAGCAGCAAGCAGGTACCTGGGTGTTCGGTTAGACACAAATGCAACAGTTCGGTATGTTTATTTCGAAACGTTTCGCCCACATTCATCATTCTACTAGTGGCCTACATCTCACCTCCTGACAGTATATAAGTCTCCAGACTATCACGTCAACTTCACATTGTTCCAGACTATGGAACAAATACTCTTCTCCAGGCTGAGGGACTGACCACCTCAAAACTACGTCTTCAGGGGTGATGGACTGATTACATCGTTTTCACATCTCTTCTGCTTCTACCAACTTTTCTGTACTCGACTGAAGAAGCCTACTGTGTAGGGGAAACGTTTCAAAATAAAAGTAACCGTTGCATATGTGTCTTACCTAACAACCTGTCGGTATTTTATGATATTTTAAATTCAGGTACTTGGGTGTTAGCCGACTGGTTCCCACACATTCTCCTGCCTTATTCACTCTACACTCCCACACATTCTCCTGCCTTATTCACTCTACACTCCCACACATTCTCCTGCCTTATTCACTCTACACTCCCACACATTCTCCTGCCTTATTCACTCTACACTCCCACACATTCTCCTGCCTTATTCACTCTACACTCCCACACATTCTCCTGCCTATTCACTCTACACTCCCACACATTCTCCTGTCTCATTCACTACACTCCCACACATTCTCCTGCCTTATTCACTCTACACTCCCACACATTCTCCTGCCTTATTCACTCTACACTCCCACACATTCTCCTGCCTTATTCACTCTACACTCCCACACATTCTCCTGCCTTATTCACTCTACACTCCCACACATTCTCCTGCCTTATTCACTCTACACTCCCACACATTCTCCTGCCTTATTCACTCTACACTCCCACACATTCTCCTGCCTTATTCACTCTACACTCCCACACATTCTCCTGTCTCATTCACTACACTCCCACACATTCTCCTGCCTTATTCACTCTACACTCCCACACATTCTCCTGCCTTATTCACTCTACACTCCCACACATTCTCCTGCCTTATTCACTCTACACTCCCACACATTCTCCTGCCTTATTCACTCTACACTACCACACATTCTCCTGCCTTATTCACTCTACACCTCCCACACATTCTCCTGCCTTATTCACTCTACACTCCCACACATTCTCCTGCCTTATTCACTCTACACTCCCACACATTCTCCTGTCTCATTCACTACACTCCCACACATTCTCCTGCCTTATTCACTCTACACTCCCACACATTCTCCTGTCTCATTCACTACACTCCCACACATTCTCCTGTCTCATTCACTACACTCCCACACATTCTCCTGTCTCATTCACTCTACACTCCCACACATTCTCCTGTCTCATTCATTCTACACTCCCACACATTCTCCTGCCTTATTCACTCTACACTCCCACACATTCTCCTGCCTTATTCACTCTACACTCCCACACATTCTCCTGTCTCATTCACTACACTCCCACACATTCTCCTGCCTTATTCACTCTACACTCCCACACATTCTCCTGTCTCATTCACTACACTCCCACACATTCTCCTGTCTCATTCACTACACTCCCACACATTCTCCTGTCTCATTCACTCTACACTCCCACACATTCTCCTGTCTCATTCATTCTACACTCCCACACATTCTCTTGTCTCATTCACTCAACACTCCCACACATTCTCCTGCCTCATTCACTCTACACTCCCACACATTCTCCTGCCTTATTCACTCTACACTCCCACACATTCTCCTGTCTCATTCATTCTACACTCCCACACATTCTCCTGTCTCATTCACTCTACACTCCCACACATTCTCCTGCCTTATTCACTCTACACTCCCACACATTCTCCTGCCTTATTCACTCTACACTCCCACACATTCTCCTGCCTTATTCACTCTACACTCCCACACATTCTCCTGCCTTATTCACTCTACACTCCCACACATTCTCCTGCTCTCATTCACTCTACACTCCCACACATTCTCATGCTTATTCACTCTACACTCCCACACATTCTCATGTCCTATTCACTCTACACTCCCACACATTCTCATGTCTCATTCACTCTACACTCCCACACATTTCTCCTGCCTTATTCACTCTACACTCCCACACATTCTCCTGCCTTATTCACTCTACAACTCCACACATTCTCTCTCCATTATCACTCTACACTCCCACACATTCTCCTGTCTCATTCACTCTACACTCCCACACATTCTCCTGCCTTATTCACTCACATCCACACATTCCCTCTTTCACTCTCACTCCCACACATTCTCCTGTCTTCATTCACTCTACACTCCCACACATTCTCCTGCCTTATTCACTCTACACTCCCACACATTCTCATGTCTCATTCACTCTACACTCCCACACATTCTCCTGCCTTATTCACTCTACACTCCCACACATTCTCATGTCTCATTCACTCTACACTCCCACACATTCTCCTGCCTTATTTACTCTACACTCCCACACATTCTCCTGTCTCATTCACTCTACACTCCCACACATTCTCCTGCCTTATTCACTCTACACTCCCACACATTCTCCTGCCTTATTTACTCTACACTCCCACACATTCTCATGTCTCATTCACTCTACACTCCCACACATTCTCCTTCCTTATTCACTCTACACTCCCACACATTCTCTTGTCTCATTCACTCTACACTCCCACACATTCTCCTGCCTTATTCACTCTACATTCCCACACATTCTCTTGTCTCATTCACTCTACACTCCCACACATTCTCCTGCCTTATTCACTCTACACTCCCACACATTCTCTCGTCTCATTCACTCTACACTCCCACACATTCTCCTGCCTTATTCACTCTACACTCCCACACATTCTCATGTCTCATTCACTCTACACTCCCACACATTCTCCTGCCATATTCACTCTACACTCCCACACATTCTCCTGCCATATTCACTCTACACTCCCACACATTCTCCTTCCTTATTCACTCTACACTCCCACACATTCTCCTCCATATCACTCTACACTCCCACACATTCTCCTTCCTTATTCACTCTACACTCCCACACATTCTCTTGTCTCATTCACTCTACACTCCCACACATTCTCTTGTCTCATTCACTCTACACTCCCACACATTCTCCTGCCTTATTCAATCTACACTCCCACACATTCTCTTGTGTCATTCACTCTACACTCCCACACATTCTCCTGCCTTATTCACTCTACATTCCCACACATTCTCTTGTCTCATTCACTCTACACTCCCACACATTCTCCTGCCTTATTCACTCTACACTCCCACACATTCTCTCGTCTCATTCACTCTACACTCCCACACATTCTCCTGCCTTATTCACTCTACACTCCCACACATTCTCATGTCTCATTCACTCTACACTCCCACACATTCTCTCGTCTCATTCACTCTACACTCCCACACATTCTCATGTCTCATTCACTCTACACTCCCACACATTCTCTCGTCTCATTCACTCTACACTCCCACACATTCTCCTGCCTTATTCACTCTACACTCCCACACATTCTCATGTCTCATTCACTCTACACTCCCACACATTCTCCTGCCTTATTCACTCTACACTCCCACACATTCTCCTGCCTTATTCACTCTACACTCCCGCACATTCTCCTGCCTTATTACTCTACACTCCCACACATTTCCTGCCTTATTCACTCTACACTCCCACACATTCACTGCCTTATTCACTCTACACTCCCACACATTTCCTGCCTTATTCACTCTACACTCCCGCACATTCTCCTGCCATTTACTCTACACTCCCACACATTCTCCTGTCTTATTCACTCTACACTCCCACACATTCTCCTGCCTTATTCACTCTACACTCCCACACATTCTCCTGCCTATTCACTCTACACTCCCGCACATTCTCCTCTATTTACTTCACTCCCCACTTCTCCTGCTTATTCACTCTACACTCCCACACATTCTCCTGCCTTATTACTCTACACTCCCACACATTCTCCTGCCTTATCACTCTACACTCCCACACATTCTCCTGCCTTATTCACTCTACACTCCCACACATTCTCCTGTCTCATTCACTCTACACTCCCACACATTCTCCTGCTTATTCACTCTACACTCCAGCACATTCTCCTGTCTCATTCACTCTACAATCCCCACATTCTCCTGTCTCATTCACTCTACACTCCCACACATTCTCCTGTCTCATTCACTCTACACTCCCACACATTTCCTGCCTTATTCACTCTACACTCCCACACATTCTCCTGACTCATTCACTGCTAACACTCCACACATTCTCCGCCATTCACTCTCACTCCACACATCTCCAGTTCATTCACTCTACACTCCACACATTCTCCTTGTCTCAATTCACTAAACTTCATCAAGATTCTCTGCCTTCTCACCACACTCCCACACATTCTCCTGCCTTATTCACTCTACACTCCCACACATTCTCCTGTCCTCATTCACTCTACACTCCCCTCCACAACATTCTCCTGTCTCATTCACTCTACACTCCACACATTCTCATGCTCATCACTCTCACTCCCACACACTCCTGCCTTATTCACTCTACACTCCACACATTCTCCTGTCTCTTCACATCTACACTCCCACACATTCCACTGTCTCATTCACTCTAACCACACACATCTCCGCCATTCACTCTACATCCACACATCTCCTGCCATTCACTCTACACCTCCCACACATTCTCCTGTCTCATCACTCTACA